GTGAGGGTCTGGTGGGTGGGGGTGGGTAGGGCTCTGAGGACCAGGACAAAGGGCCTGGCCTGCAGAAGGTGGGGAGAGGGTCTAATGTCAGGCAGGGCTTCCAGGACCGTGGAGCTGTTCCAGGCATCCAACGTGACAGGCCTGGGGACCTGCTCTCCAGGTGGCTGTGCCTCAGTGAATTCAAGTCCTGGCAAGTCTGCTCGGCAGCTTTCTCTGCAGAAATGCAGCCCTAGAGGAAGGCACAGGCCTTGGGGAGCCAAGTGAGATCTTGAAACCCTGGGGTGGATGTGGCGGGGGGGGGGGGGGGGGGGGAAGCTGAGCATGGGGCACCTGCCTGGGCTTTCCAGACACAGCCACAAAGAACTACAGGAGCTGAACCGGGAAGGTACCCCAGAACTGGAGGCCATGCAGAGAGCTTCTGTAGAGAAAGGCCAGCCCCTCCTCCCCCCAGGCCACCCCCATGCCTGTTACCAGCCAGACCATGTCAGGAAAAGCTGTCTGCAGCCAGCCACAGAAAAGAATGGCAGCCCTACTCTGCCCTCACTGGCACAATCAGCAGAACCAGACACCTAGCATCAGAAAGGGCCAGAACAGGGCTCCCAGGGCAACTCAAAACACTTATCCCACAGAAGACAAGGCCAGGGCTGCCCTCACTGCTGTGTGATCTAGGTTTGGCTGGACACCTGCCATTTGCGAAAGGAAGGCTCTTGGAGCTATAGAAATACTCCCCAAAGTTGTGTTCTAAGGTCATCAGGGACTCTGCTTGAGGCCAGAGCCATGATTGATGGGTTCTCTCCTGGCTAGGACTGCCCAGGAGGAAGTTGGGAGGGCCAGTGCTTCTGGGTGTATACCTGGCTGTCCTGCACACTGGACAACACTGAGCCACACAGCATTGAGTCCTGTGCTCAGGAACAGAGTCACCTACTGCAGCTCAGGCACCTGAGGGGGAACACTTCAGAAGCCTGGGGCCAGGACAGATGCTCGGTACGTGCTGGTGGCCCTCGACTCTGAGAAACGCCGCCCACAGATCAGCAGGATGGGAGCCAAATAATAAATAGTCCACATTTTTTGGCGGCTCAGAGGCCGGGTTGGAAACAAGTCACTGTTTTATTGTGCAGAAAAACCACAGGCTTTTTCATCTGAGTGCCCGCCTGAGAAAAGGGTGGCTGCCAGCCAGGTGAGAAGGCTGGGTGGCAGGTCTGCCCCCACGTGCCGAAGGTGTCCCCTCCAGGCTAGCCCTGGCCCCCACCCAGAGCCACTAATTCCAGGAGCCAGGTCCCAGAGTCTAAGATATGAGCAGCTGGTGGTCCAGTTGGGCAGAGAACCTTCTAGAACCTTAAGTCTATAACAAGTCACCTGGCTAGAACATCATAGGATGCTGGTGGCTCACGTCTGTAATCCTAGATACTCAGAAGACTGAGATCTGAGGATCATGGTTCAAAGCCAGCCCAGGCAAGGAACGTCCATGAGACTCTTATCTCCAATAAACCACCAGAAATCTGGAAGTGGAGGTGGGCTCAAAGTGGCAGAGTGAGAACCTTGAGCAGAAGAGCTAGAGACAGTGCCCAGGCCCTGAGTTCAAGCCCTTGACCATTAAAAAAAAATTAATTAATTAAAAATATTAAAAAGCCCAAGCAAGCCAGGTACCGGTGGCTCACATCTGTAATTCTAGCTATTCAGGAGGCTGAGATCTGAGGATCTTGGTTTGAGGCCAGACAGCAGATGACAAATCTGAAAGACCCATCTCCAATTAATCACCAAAAGAGAAGACCAGAGTAGAGTGGTCACTTAAGTGGAAAAAGCAAAGGAACATCACCCATGCCCTGGTATCCCTACAACCAAAGAGAAAAGCCTGAGCAAGTCCTTCCTGTGTGGAAATTCGAGGGGGACAATGGAGGGAGTTGTACCTGCAGCAGACCTCACCACCATCCCTCTTGCTCTCTGGTAATGGGACCCCAAAACCCGCCTGTGTCCAACCCTGAACGTACAACACAGCTGACCAGGTAAGTGCCCAGCCCCAATTCCTATGCACCCAAAGCCATGGTAAAATGGTCAAGGTTGCATAGTAAGTTCATGCAAGGTCACAGGGAGGTCACCCAGGGTCATAGTGAGCTCGCCCAAGGTCATGCTGAGGCCACCCAGGATCATGATGGAATCAATCAAGGCCACAGCAAAGTAGCCTAAGGTCACAGAATGGTAGCCAAGGTGAGTGGGGCCACCTAAGGGACAGCCCTGCCGGGTGGTAACGCCCCCACACAAAATGGGGCATCTCGTGACCTTGCTGCCCCACCTGGGGCCAAGGAGACACCTACCTTCAGTATAGTCCCTTCCTCTCTGTGCCCAACAGCATCCTGTGATGTCCATTCAGGGTCTGACCCAGGATCTTTTTTGTTGCTGTTGGCAATGGGACTTAAATCCACTGTTTTCTTGCTCATGGCTGTTGCTCTACCACTTGAGTCATGCCTCCAATCCTGCTTTTTGCTGGTTAACTAGGACTTTTCTGCCCAGGCTGGCTTCAAACTCCAGTCCTCCAGGTCTCAGCCTCCTGTGTAGCTAGGATTACAGGAGTGAGCCACCATGGTGGGATAACAGGATCATCTTTAAAACGGGAATTTTCTAGCAGAATGAAACTCCCGTCCCTACAGTCTGCAGAGAAGCAGATGCCTGTGGAGTCCACCCTGAGGCCTGCTAGGCCGAGTCGATCCTGGCCCTGTCCTGGGCTCACCTTCCACCTGGAAGTCAGCCAGCCAGAAAAACTGAAGGAGTCAGGTCCAATGTATCCCATAGTCAGGGATACGAGGACTCCAGACATGGCAGCCTGCTGCTGCTCAGCAAACCTGCACTCAAGGTCTCCACTGGGGGTCCTCTATAGCACTGGTCCAGAAATGATGAAACTGGCAAGGTCACCCCAAGGTCACCACACAGAGGAAAACACCACATCCAGCCAGCCAGAAACCCCAAGTGCAACCCAGAGCACAAGATGCTTGTGCTACCCTACCTGGAGCTAGGCCTTTATCTGCCAGACTCAAAGAGGTACAAGGGAAGCCATAGAGGTCATAGGAAGAAAGGTCAAGGTCACGGGCTAATGCTGACTTCTGGATCCCACCAGGCTACAACACAGAGGCACAGGCCAGAGGAGCCAAAAGCAGAAGGTGGGACAACAAAGGCTGCCTAAAAGATAGCAGGGCCTTGAGACTCAGGCTTGTGATCATAAGGAGGCTGAGATCTGGAGGATCAAGGTTTAAGGCCCACCTGGGCAGAAAAGCCTACATTTCAAGACTACATTTCCAAAATAACCAACCACAAACCTGGCTAGAGGCATAGCTCAAGTAGTAGAGCACCGGCCTTGAGAGAGAAAAGTCAAGCAAGCACAAGGTCCTGTGTTCAAGGACCTGATACTGGGAGAAAAAAAAGATAAAATAAATCAATAGTTATAGATCAGGTGGTACTGTTCTACCCAAGTCCAGCCAGGTAGCACCCTCCTGTGCCCAGGGCCCTGGCCTATTTGAGTGGATACTCAACAGGGGACAGAGGCCCAGGCTGGCCCACAGGCTGGGCCACCGGGTTTGAGACCTGGTCCTCTGATTTCTGGCCCCACTTCCATCGGTTTCTCGACCCCAGCATCTTACCAGGTAGCACTGTACCAGGGCAGTGCATTGACCTCACAGGAACTTGAAAGGCAATGTTTGCAACCTGTGCAGCTGCTGCTTTGTAAGCCACACAGCCCGGCCTCAGTGGACACCTGGCAAACAGCAGCAGTCCATCCACCGTGAGAGAGCCAGGAATGTGGCTGGCCCGCAGTACTTTCCACCAGCCTCCAGCCAACTTCTATCACTTGAAAAGCATCCAACCTGAAGGGTAAGCCATGAGCAGATTTCCTTCTCGTGTGTGTGCTGGTACTGGAACTTGAACTCAAGGCTCTGCACTCACCCCCATTTGCTTGTTTGGCTGTTACTCCTACCACCTGAGCCATGCTACCAGCTTGGCTTTTTGCTTTTTTTTTTTTTAAGAGTCTGGCCTTGAACCACAATCCTCCAGGTCTCGGGTCTCCCAAATAGCTAGGATTGTAGGTGTGAGTCACAACACCTGGCTTCCTTTGTTCCTTACATCTTCCACACGCACCAACAACAAAGACGACCCACAGGCCACAGGGATGAGAGCAGTCATGAGCCATGAGGCTTCAGGAGGTGGCGGCCGGCTGTGGGCTCCATGCAGACCAGCCCCACAAGCAACAGGTTAGCTTGCTGTGGATGAAATCTTTTCCCCATCCCCACGATCTGCACTGGAACCCAGAACAACCAGACCTTCAATGTTCATTGTGAAAAATCAGCCTGGGGCTGCAGCCCTGATGGCCCTGGCACCCCCCCCTGTTTTCTCCCCAATAACAGCTCAATTAATAGGGGTACAGCTCCACAAAGAAACTAGGAAAAAAAAATGCAACCACAAAGTGCCCCATAGGCCTGTGATGTTGATGGGTTTTTTTTTTTCCATAAAACTGATAATATTAAAAATACAAAGTTCAACTTTACAAAACAAGAACAATGCCAAAAAATGAAACAAAGAAACCACACACATACATAATTCTGTTAACAGGTAAAGCACATCTCACCGAAAATAGAGAACTGAGGCTTGGTCGCACACTGACGTAGTGGGAATACAATTGACAAGACAGTTAAGATCAGCAGTGCCTAGGCTGGGTGAGGTGGCTCATGCTTGTCATCTCAGCTACTCGGGAGACAGAGATTGGGAGGATTGAGGATTGAGGTGCAAGGCCAGCCCCAGCAAAAAAGTTGGCCGAACCTCACCTTCCCACCCTGATCTCAATAAACAAGTTGGGCATGGTGGCTCACACCTGCCATCTCAGCAAAAATATATAAACTTATCTGAAAAATAGCTCTCTCAAAATGGCTTAAACCAAAAAATAAAATAAAATAAAAATTAAAAAAAAAAAAAGGTTAGGGAGAAAGACAGAAAGACAGAAACATTTAGGAAAGGATGCATGGGTAGATATTCCATGTTTTATTTTAATACATCTCATTAGTTTTCATCCTGCTAGGAAAAAAAAAAATACCGTCACAAAGTCCCAACAGTTTAACAACAGCAGCCTCCTGTGTTATCGGCAAAAAAACAAACAAACAAACAAAAAACAAAAAACAAACAAAACAAAACAAAATCCTCCAAGAGATAATTAAAAATTTTTTTTTAAAAATGCTAGGCAGAGAGTAAAAAGGAAAGCTTATAATCACTTTATGGTGTAAAAAAAAAAAAATCCACTTAAGGCTCTCAGGAAGGCCCCGTGCTGACTCAAGCGAGGAAGTATGGTTTTTTGTTTTTTTTGGGGGGAGGGCTCCCGGACAGCTCCCATGTACTCCAATCCCTGTGTCCCCTCGAAGCCAGTGACCCCTGCAGTCCCGAGCTGGCCAGTGCCAAGGGCAGAGGGGAGCAGAAGCCAATCTGGGGGCAGCATCACCTCCGTTCCTCAGGGCGGCCCTTTGCCGTTGTTGGCGTTAGCTAATTTGTTGGAGTCCGTGGTGTTTCTGTGTTTTGTGGTTTGGTATTGGGTTTGGTGATTATTTTTTTCTCTTTTTCTGACAAGGAAGTGTCTTACTGTCCCACCCAAGTGCTACAATACTTCCTTTGATGTGACATCGAACAAATGGACACTGTCTCTTTGTTCTCCGGGGGATTCTTGAACACAGTTTTTTGTTTTGTTTTTTTTTTTGTTGGTTTTTTTTTTTTTTTTTTTCACGGAAAAGAACAAAGACCGCACAACTGGCCATAAAGCACCGTACATAGTAGGTCCAGGAATGTAACACGCCACTACATCCGTGTCCCGAGAGGGCTGGGGGGGGGCTCATCCTCACCTCACATCTGCAGGAAGAACGGAGAAGACAAGAGGCTGAGAGGCCAGGCCCAGCTGATGGAAAACACTGACACATCTGGCCCCAGCAGGCCAAATACACACCACACAAGTCTTAATAAAAATTTCAAAAAATAAGTAGAAATAAATCAGGTTTGCCACGTGAACCCCATTGGCCATATCCTCAAAGGATTATTAGGACAAGGCTCCTAGCATCACATTAGAACCCAACACTCCCATTGTGCAGATGGGGAAACTGAGGCACTGCGGAATTTTGTTGTTTTGTTGTTTGCCCTTCTCTAAGGACTTGGCTGTGATTTCTGGAGCTCTGCCAGCCAATTGGAATGCCACGGGGGGGGGGGGGGGGGGAGGAGGGGGAAGGGGAGGGGAACACACTGGCTGTGATCAGGTACAACCATGCTGAACTCTTGTTGTTTGTTCTCTGTTTTCCTTTTTTCTTTTCTTTTTGGTGCTGGCACTGGCTGTGTACTCTTGCTTGGCTTTTTATTTTTTAATGTATTTATGCTCAAGGCTGGACCACTTGAACCACACTTCCAGTTTTTGGTTTTTTTTTTTGCTGGTTAATTGAACATAAGAGTTCTCACAGGCTTTTCTGCTCAGGCTGGTTTTGAACTAGGATCATCAGCACTGGACTTGTTTGTTGTTTTCATATTTGTCTGCAAATACATGCTCGGCAAATACTCTGCACTGAGCTATAACCCCAGCCTACACTGAGCCCCTGAACAGCTCATTCCCCACCCCACCCCCCAAATTCACATAAGCCTCTCCACAGCAGACATTCCAATACGGGCACCACCCACAGCCAGCAGCCTGGATGCTGGTAGGCAGCAAGTATGCTGGTCTCTCATGGGGGGGGGGGGGGGGGAGTCCCTGTCACCAGCTGGCCCATCTCAGCCAAACTCACAACAGAGGAAACAGTTGACCTTCCCCCCGCCCCCCCCCCCCACCCAAAGTGGGCCCTTAAGCATCCCTGCGACTCCCCTCAGGAGCCAGGGCTCTCAGACACTATCTCTAAGGAATCTCCTCTAGCCCAGAACAATTATTTGTTTTGGATGCCCCAGAGCTCCACGTGCCAAGAGGAAGGCCCAGCAGAGAGGTTCCAGCCCTCCTGGACCAGGCAGGCTGCCACCCAGAAGGCCAGGCCCCTTTTCTGTTTGGAGAAGCAGCAGACCTCTCTCCAGACACTCCTCACTTCCCAGGATGGCAGGTTGAAAAAGCAGAAGTCCCTGGATGGGATTTTGGGGGAGAGTTCTCCCTTCACAAAGATTCTTGGGCCCTTTTATCTTCCAGCCTAGAGAGCCAGTGTGATGATGGCTGAGCTCAGCAGCCACTACAAGCCATGAGGCAACTCTGAGAGGGAAAGCCTCCAGCTCCAGGAAGAAGGGGCACCCATGTCACCTCTGACTGCCTCACCTGCCACTGTCTCCTAGTCTTAGATCTTGTACGTACTTGGCTCTCCATCCCTGTCAGTGCTGGGGTACACAGCCAAGCACCCTAAACTTTTATAAAACTCTTGTAGCTCCACTGAGCTATCAGCAAACTTTGTCTCCAATCTGTCAGGCCGCAGTTTGTCCATCTGACAATGGGGTGAGCAGCCGGCTCAATGTAATCCCAGCTAGTGAACTGCAGAGCCAAGTTTGGCTTAGAATCAGGAATTGCGCTGTTTCTCGCTGCCTGTGTTCGATCACGAAGGAAATCAAGCAGCAAGGAGACCCAGAGCGCAGCAGGCACCCACCGAAGCACACAGACCCCTCTGGGCCAATCAGGACCCACACTGGTTGCCCCACCCACAGAAGCTGATTGGCTGATCAGTACATCATTGATTTTCCCTCCCTTTTGCCCCCTCCTCCCTGCCCTGCAAGCAGGGCCTACCTTGGTCTGGTGCTTTATGTGGGTTTTAACCTTTTCCTTTTCCGTTTTTTACCTGATTCCCTACGCTTTCCTGTTGAGGAGAAGGCAGGGTGGTGAGCAGCCTCAGGGAAGGCCATCAAGTGCAGCCATAAATACCTAGGTGTTTTATCTTTTTGCAAGAGAGCTCCAGCCACCCCTGCCAGACACTTTGGGGTGCCTCTGCACCCCAGGTTGTCAGAGAACATGAGGACCTACCACCTAAGGGTGAAGGTCAGCATCCACCTCCCCACCTGCTCCTCGGCCCACCTGGACGGGCAGCCTGGCAGGCCTGAGAGGAGACCCAAGGCCCCTGAGTGACAGGTCACCATCTCAGCCTGTTAACCAGGTGCCCACCCTCCTGTTCAGCTTCAGCTCCCTCCATGTGGTCATCCAGCAGGAGCCCCCTAATCCGGTCGTCATGGTGACTGACTCACCAGTCTCCTCTTCCCGATGGTCTGGATTCAGGCTGGAGGTTGCACATGCACACTCCAAGTGCTCCTCTAGTCTCACCTGGACCTCTTTTAATTTTGGCTTCTTCCTGACGTATTCAACTTTGGCCACCTGCAGAGGACAGAGCCCACACTAAGCACCCTGAAGACTGAGGGGGGGAGGCGGGGGAGGTGCTTTCTGGACAACCTAGGCTGGTGCATGGGAGGGAAGAGAGAAGAGACTGACTTTGACCTCTGACCCTACCTGGTACCCTCCCCTCCCCTTCCAGGTGAAGAAAGGAAGAGGTGACAAACAAGTTCAGTCTATTTCCATTTAAAAAGAAACATGGAGGTGGGTGTGCCCATGGCTCAAGCCTATAGTCCTAGCTACTCAGGAGATGAGATCTGAGGATCATAGTCAAAACCAGCCCAGGCAGAAGTCAGTGAGACTCTTATCTCCAAATAATCAGTAAAAAGCTAAAAGTGGGGCTGGGAATGTGGCTTAGTGGTAGAGTGCTTACCTAGCATGCATGAAGCCCTGGGTTTGATTCCTCAGTACCACAGAAACAGAAAAAAGCCGAAAGTGGTACCGTGGCTCAAGTGGTAGAGTGGTAGGCTTGAGCAAAGGCTCAGGGACAGTGCCCAGGTGTGAGTCCAGGTCCCAGGACTGGCAAAAAATAAAACAGGCCAAGTGCTGGTGGCTCACACCTGTAATCCTTGCTACTCAGGAGGCTGAGGTCTGAGGATTGATATTCAAAGCCAGCCTGGGCAGGAAAGTCTGTGAGATTCTTATCTCCAATTAACCACCAGAAAACCAGAAGTGGCACTTTGGCTCAAAGTGGTAGAAAGCTCACCTTGAGCTGAAGCGCTGAGGGACAGCTGAGACCCAGGCCCAGAGCTCATGCCCCATGACCAACAAAAAAATAAATAAAATAAAAAGCTAAAAGTGAAGTGCTAAGTAAAGCACCAGCATTAAGCAAAAACAGGCAAGCAAGAACACAAGGCCCTGAGTTCAAGCACTTGTATAAGCACAAAAATAATAAAATAAACAGATAAATAAACCTAAACAGCCAGGCGTGGTGGTGCATTCCTATTGTCCCAACACTTGGGAAGCTAAGGCAGGTGGGTGGATCATGAATTAAAGGCCAGTCTGGGCTGCAGAAAGAGATCCTGTTCAATAACAACAGTATAATAATAACACTAAAACTGAGTGCTGATGGCTTTCACTTTTATCCTAGCTACCTGGGGAGGCTAGAGAATAAACAGAAGGATCATGGTTGGAGGCCACCCTTAATAGAAAGATTCATAAGACTCCACTTCAGTGCCTGCCATCCCAGCTATGATGGGAAGTGTAAAATAAGATCGCTGCCCAAAGCAAGATCCTATCTCGGCAAATAACCTGTGCAATAAAAGGCTGGAGGCGTGGCTCAGCAGTAGAGAGCCAGCCTAGCAAGCTCCAAACTCTGAAAGTTCAAAGCCCAGTATGGGAAGGAGGACAGAGAGGACAGGAGGGAGGAAGAAGGGAGAACGGAAGTTGGGGACCCCTATGCCCTGCCTATCCACAATCCAGAGACTCTACATGAGGACCCCTCCTCCCAGAGGTTACAGCCCCCAACGGGCCTTGTGCATTGTGCATGCATACATGTATACACACGTGTGCACAGGAATACATGCCCCCATCATGGACATGCAAAGCCCACCGCCCACACAAGTGACCCTCACCCCACTACAAGGTGGCACCTTCACCCAGCCCCAGTTTGGAGGGACTGGTTAGGAGATGCTCTGCCCTCCTTCCTTGGAGCCCACACACCCACTCAGTTCTCCTGGCCATGCCACAAGAAGCAGTATAATCACCTCCACATACAATAAAGAGAGCCAAGGCACGGCGAGCTCCCCTCCCCAAGGTGCCCATCCCTAACCACCAGGCTATCTGACCACCAGTGGATCACCCTGGAGCCAAGAGCCACCATCCATCGCAGCCCAAGGGGCTACATGGGTGTCTGTATCCCCGAAGTAGCCCCTAGGGATGCTTCCCCTTCACCATTCAACTGGAGAAACTGAGGCTAGAAAAGACCCAAAGCCCATGATGGGCTGCTAGGCAGGGAAGGGTGGGGAGCACTAGTACCTAGTGAATGAGACCCCCAGGTGGAGACCAGATGTCCAGTCCTGGCCTCTAGGGCAGTCAAGAAGGTAAGAAAAGCCCATTTGCAGAATGATCTGGAATGGCGGGGGAGGGGAAATCCCCTATACACAGGGGTTGGCCCTATACCCGAGGCTGGCAGCACCTCTAGAAGCCTGGCCTCAGGCACTGGGGAGCAGGCCTGGCCAGCCCTGTCATGTGCCACCTCAGCTGCATTAATGGTTAACCTGTGGTGCAAAGGGTGCTGGATGCCCGGCGGGTGTGTAAAAGGCTCAGAGCTGCTTCAGGTGCGAACACAGCCTGCCAGGTATGAGCTCAGCGCCGAGGGCGTGGGGCCCCGGGGCAGGGGGCAGCCCCGGAGGTTTCACTACGTCAGGAGGCAGGAGATGCCAGCCTGGAGCTAGGCACTGCCTCCTGGATAGATGGGGTTGTATACACATACCTGGGGCTCCAGAGCAGCCCCCCCCTCCCAGACCCCCAACCTGCCCTTCCCCAGGTGCTTGAGCTTAGGGGAGCCTAGCCTAGCCCCCACCAGCCCACAACTAGTTCTTGCCCAGATACCTGGACTCCAGAGGGGGCAGAGAGCAGCCCCTCCACCACTGGCCCACAGTCTGCCCAAGTGGGAGGAAGTCTGTATCCTATGCTGTTAGAGGCCCTGCAGCCCTACCTGGGAAAATTGGGGCACAGGTGCTCCCTACACAGGAGGTCACCTGTGCAGAAGCACCTAGAACCAAGCCACAGGGCATTTGTAGGAGCCAGCTACACTGACAGGCACCTGTTAGTCCTTCCAGGATCTGCTCAGGGAGGGGACCATGTGTCCCAATGCTGAGCACAGTGCCTGTACCCTAACAGCCAAGAGAAACCCACTCTCCCCCACCTTCTAAATGGAAGAGGTCCTCCGTTGGAGAGGTTTCCATCCCAAGGATAAGCCCCAGAAAGTTTCAAGAGCAGCATGGAGGGAGGGCACCAGGCTATACCTCAGCCCTCCAGAATCAAGAACCACAAATCTACCAGCCTACACAGACTGGAGCCCAGAGTCCCCTCCCCTCTCCCTATGCTGCTTTAACCCAAAGAGGAGGACCCACTGACCCCCTTGTACCTCCAAACCTGGGGCTGGACCCAGGTCTTACAGTTCAGGCAGGGCTCTGGTCTTACAGACTTGACCTTGGATGACCCCAAGGTCAACAGCAACCTCTCCACAGGGCAGATCCTAGAGTCTGAGCCCTGCTGGTGAGTCCTGGTTCCCCCCAAGCTTTTCCACTGAGCGAGGCAGGTGCTATGGACCCCCTACAGCCACCTGAAGGGCTGCTTGGCTGGGGGAACCCACTTTTCTCTCCAGACAGGTCCATTTTTTATCAGAGACAAAACAAACAGCGATTTACAACCCTACCTGCTCAAGGAATGCCAGGATTCCAGAGACTCCAGCCACCTCTGTCTGACAGGAAATGCCTACATTTTTCTTCCAAGCACATGTTAGGAATTTTAAATTCTCAAAGCCTGCCTCAAGCTAGGCACTGGGTGGCTCAAGCCTGTAACCCTAGCTACTCAGGAGGCTGAGATCTGAGGACTGTAGTTGGAAGCCAGCCTGGGAAAGAACGTCCAGGACTCTGATTTTCCAATTAACTACTTAAAAGCCAAAAGCAGAGCTGTAGCTCAAGTGGTACAACACCAGCCAAGCAAAGGCTAGAGGTCTGAGCTCAAGCCTCAGGACTGGCACAGAAATAAAACACCTCTTCCACCGATAGTCAAGTCAAAAAAGGAAGATACTAATATCCCCAACACTCCTACTTATACCCCCAGGCCCCACAATGGGGGCCCTCACACCTGTTCCAGCCACCTAACCCACCCCTCCTCCCTCTGGTTCATGGAGAGTACACACCAGACACCCCATTCCCACTACTGCCACAAGCTCCCCTGCCTGCATGCTCCTGTAAGTTCACCCCAAAACATCACCCAAAATGCTAGCATTCAGCTGCTGCAGGAAGCCCCAGGGGGGAATTCTAAACACACCAGTGTCATGTGATAAAACTGAGCCCCACGCTATACATAAGCCTTATAGCCAGTTGTGTGCACAACTACAGCCCATTTCCCAGATGAGAAAACTGAGCAGACCCTTGCCTGGAGACCCCAGGGTTCTGTTCTTCTGTCTGCTTTGGAAACCTGCAGCTTGGACTTGGAAACAATGGAGCCTAGCAGCTGAAGAGACAGAAGCAGGAAGATCCAGGTCAGAGGCCAGCCTGGGCAAAAGTGTAAGACCCTATCAGAAAAGCAAACTAAAAGCAATAGGGCTGGAACATGGCTCAAGTGGTAAAGCACCTGACTAGCAAGTGTGAGGCCCTGAGTTCAAACCCCAGTAGTGCTAAGACAGAGGAGTGGGGAGAGAAGAGGGGGAATGGAAGAAGAACAGGCAAAGCTTGGCTCTGAGACCCCAAGACACTATTCCAACTGTCCAGTTTAGAACCCCTTGGAAAGAAGCCAACCACAACCTTCAAATTAGGCAACAGATGAAAGACTGGGAGCTCCACTCCACGTGGCTGAGGAACTCACACAGCATTAGGACGGTGATTGCAGATATAGGGTGCACATCTCAAGAGACCTGGGCCAGGACTTCAGCTTCCTTGGCCTCCTCCCCTTGAGGAAGAAGGTGAGACCTGCACCCCCCCCCCCACTTCCCTCAAGACTGAGAGAAAAATAGCACTAACTCCAACCCCAGCCAGCACTAGGTAGAGCTCTAAAGGAAACCCAATCAATGCAGGGTCAGATGGGCCATAGGCAAGCACCCTGGGTAGGTCTCATTGGCCAGACACAGTTGGCCATGCCACTGTACATCTCTCCCTTGCAGCTCCCATTGACCACCTTACTTCACGCCTCCTTCACCCCACCTACGTATGGGCCAGCCAAGTGCTGGCCATCCGGGCACAGGAAAGCCATCTAGGCCTGGCCACCTTCTGTCTGTACCCAGGGGACAGCAGTGGCCTAGTCATGTCAGCAGGGTATAGTAAAAGACTAGGACTATACTACATGTGTCCCCAAGAAGAGAAGACCCCAGTTCTCATCCCCACACCCCCGACTCCAGTCTCACCTAGGGCAGTAGCTAGAATATCCAGTCCTTGGGAATCACCAGGGGCTGGCCATCAACCTTAGCATGTATATTAAATGCCACACAGCCTAGGTGGTGCCACCAAGCAGGCTACCATTGAACCTACAGTGGGTGGATCCCCAGCCCGGGCCACATGGGGTAACCATTCCTGGACTTAAAACTGTCCTGTAGCTGGGCACTAGTGGCTCACGCCTGTAATCAGGAGGCTGAGATCTGAGGATCACAGTTCAAAGCCAGCCTGGTCAGGAAAGGCTGTGAGGCTCATATCTCCAATAAACCATCAGAAAACTGGAAGTGGGGCTGTGGCTCAAGTGGTAGAGCCTTGAACTGAAGAGCTGAGGGACTGAGTCCAGGCCCAGAGTTCAACCCCATGACTGACAAATAAAAAACCATCCTGTGTAGTGACAGTAGCCAGGAAAGACCATGGATCAAGCATTACAAGGACACAGGAAGAGCTGGATACAGTGGCACATGCCTGTAACTCCAGCACTTGGGAAGCTGAGGCAGGAGGATTCTAAATCAGAGACCAGCCTTGACTACATTGTGAGGCCTTGTCTCAAAGATAACAACAACGAAAAAAAGTTCTCAGGGGGAACAGGAGTCGTGGTAGAGTGTTTTCCTAGCAAGTGTGAGGCTCTAGTTTCAATCCTTTGTACCCCAAAAAAAAAAAAGCCAAAGAAAGCAGGGCAATGTTGGCTCTGGCCTATAATCCTAGCTCCTCAAGAGGCTGAGATCTGGAGACTCTCAGTTCACAAAGCCAGCCTAGACAGCAGGCTCACTTCCAATTAATCAGCAAAACAGCTGGGCTGGCGGTATGGCTCAAATGGGTAGAGCAGTGCCAGCCAAGAACAAGGAAGCCAAGCGAGCAGGAGGCCCTGAGTTCAAACACAGGTACTGGCAGGGGATAAAAATTTTAAAAACAAAAGCAAAGCAAAACTATAGAAACTGGAACCCAGCAAAGTGGGAGGAGCTACCCTTGAGTTTCCCCTGCCAGCCTGGCCCCTCCCCGCGTCTATTCCCACAGGGGCGGAGCTCTAAATGCATCTGGGATGTCAAGGCTACGTCTTTTCCATCCAGCTCAGCACCACCCTGGCTCCCAAACCAGCCTCCTGCACAGGCCTCCACAAAGACCCTCCTGTTCCATGGACCTTCCGTCCCTTCTCCCACAGCCCCGGAGGTCTGGGGCCAGATGTCCCCTCCTCACTCTTGGAGGTAGGGACTGGGGAGGGCTGGAGGATGCCCTCCTCAGGAGGAAGCCTGGGATGAAGGCTGGCTCTGGTTTGCAGGACTCAGTCCCTCTTGGTTGTCTGGGACCCTGGTGGGTAGATGAGATAAAGCTACAGTCCCAGCAACATGCAGGGGAAAGGCCTCTCTGGGGATCCACCTGGCTTCCTCGGAACAGATGCTTCCGGTCCTTTGAACTGGAAGACAGGGTGGGGTCATGGGGCTCCCAGATGCTGAGAACCAGGAACCCCTGAGTCACACCTTGACATTACCACCAAACTTTCTGAGGATACATTTTAGGCACCAAGAGTTCCTCTGCACCCATACAGAACTCCTACCCCTTTCCTTGCCTGCATGTACCCAAGAGGCCAGGCCCTGGTGGCTCAAACCTATAATCCTAGCTACTCAGGAGGCTGAGATCTGAGGATCGAGATTCAAAGACAACCCAGGCAGAAAAGTCAGTGAGATTCTTATCTCCAATTAGCCAGAAAAAAAAAAGCAGGAAGTAGGGCTGTGGCTCAAGTAGTAGAGCACCAACCTTGAAGGCAAAAGCCAAGTGACAGCCATAAAAACTGGAACCTAGTGCCAACACCAAAAGGGAACAAGATGGCAGATGGGTCTGTATAACTACCCAGTACCCTAACAGTGGGAGCCCCAAAGCCCAAGGAAAAACAGAAGAGTAGAACTGACAAGTAGTGGCAGGAGGGTGTGGCTTGTGCCAGGGACAGAGTCCCAGGCCACTTAAGCCTAGAGGCCCAAGTTAGCAACCCCTTCCCCGCTATTGCCCCATGCATGAGCAGCAACTGCAGGCTCCCAGACAAGCCCCCCAGGCCCAGGAAAACCCAGGGCTTTAAGGGGAGTGTCTGGCCTTAGAGATCCAGGCACTGGAATGTGGAATTTGCTCTTAATCCCCAGAGCTCCACGGGGACCAAGTCCCAGACAGAGGTCATGGTAGGTTCCAGCCAAGGAAACTAAATGAGGCACCTGTACGGCCTGCTGAGGACTGGTCCTTACTAAGAAAAGGGCTCCCTAGCATCTTCTTCCAGTGTTCAGGGTCCAGCAGAGACAGGGTAGGGGGAGTAGGGATGGAAGGGATTTTCCATAATCAAAGAATGGGACCAAGGTTACTACCGGAATTGACATCCTCAAATATTAATTCTGGAGACCCTTCACCCAAGAGAGAAAAACCTTAAAGCCAGATGCCCAGCCAAGGCATGGCTCTGTTGAGAGTATCCAGCCCCTTAGCCCATCCAGATTGACAGACGTGGCTAGTCCCCCTGGCTCTGACCCACTGGCTCCCATAAATCAAGTTAGACAATCAGAAATGGAAAACCAGTTTCCAGGCAGCATCGAGCTCTGAAAGCTCCAGACTTAACCATACCTCACAAAAGCCTGGAGATGCCCGAGTCACATGACAACCATGCTCAGGTTGAACCTACAGGGGTAGGAAACCCTCTGTCCAGCAGAAGCCTCAGCTCTGGAGCACATTTGACCAGCCTCAGACCCACTGACAAGAGGGCATGTTGCCAGGTGCTGGTGGCTCATACCTAACATCCAAGCTACTCAGGAGGTTGAGAACTGAGGTTTGAGGTTCAGAGTTAGCCTGGGCAGGAAAGTGCATGAGACTCTTATCTCCAATTAACTACCAGAAAACAAGAAGTGGAGCTGTGGCTCAAAGTAGTAAGAGTACTAACTTTGAGCAAAATGCTTAGGGAAATCATTCAGGCCCTGAGTTAAGCCCCACAAGCGACCAAAAAATAAATAAAGTGGATATATGGGTCACAAGGCAACAGACTAGACCCAATAGCCATTGGTCAGGCCAAAGTCCACAGACCCTAATGCAGCTCCTAAGAGATCTACAGCATCAAAATGGTCCCCCAGACCTTAAAACTATGGCAAAAATCAGGTGCCAGTAGCTCATACCTGTAATCCTCGCTACTCAGGAGGCTGAGATCTAGAGACCACAGTTCAAAGCCAGCCTAGGCAGGAAAGGCCATGAGACTCTCATCTCTAATTAATCAGCAAAAAGCTGGAAAGTGGAGCTGTGGCTCAAGTGGTAGAGTACCAGCACTGAGTAACAAAGCTAAGGGACAGTGCCAGACCCTGAGTTCAAGCCCCAGTACTGGCAGGAAGAAGAAAGAAGAGGAGGAAGAGAAGGAGGAGGAAGAAGAGAAGGAAGAGGAGGAAAGAGGAAGGAGGAGGAGGAAACAGGGCAAGAGAGAACCATGAACTATCATTGGACAGTCAGCTCCACCAGCCCCTGCCTGGGAGTATGCTGAACACTGGCCCCTCGTGAGCACAGGCTGGCAACAGACAGCTCTGCCCTGCCTTCATTCCAAATCCACCAGCCACCTGAGGACACTGGACAACAATCTGAGGACTGGCCAGCAAGACCAGGTTACAGGCTCACCTTGACACTCCGGTGGTGTACCCTGGAGGGCTGGCATTTGACGCTGCTTGTGTTACAGCAGCCGGTACAGCGCTTCACCTCCACACATGGGGGCCAGATCAGGAAGTTGGCAGACGTGGGGTCTACCTGGCTCCGAGGTATCTCATAAATGACCGTCCTGGTCTTGCAGACTGCGGGGATGGCTTCCTCTGCAGAGCAAAAACACAGGGAATGAAGCCGGGCGCTGGTGGCTCACGCCTGTAATCCTAGCTACTCAGGAGGCTGAGATCTGAGGATCGAAGTTCAAAGCCAGCCCGGGCAGGAGAGACCGTGAGACTCCTATCTCCAATAAACCACCAGAAAACCGGAAGTGGCGCTGTAGCTCAAGTGGTAGAGCTCTCGCCTTGAGCTGAAGAGCTGAGGGACAGTGCCCAGACCCAGAGTTCAAGCCCCACGACCGACAAAATAAAAAACAAAAAAAACCCACAGGGAATGATGAGTGACCACCCGAATCTCCCGGGCAACACGAGCACACACTTTGCGGAGTTTGTGAGGAGGGAGGGGTTGGTGGGGTTTTTTGGAGCCAGTGCTTGAAGTCAGGATCTTGCTCTCTTGCCTTTTTCCACTCAAAATTGGAGATCCTCAGATCTCAGCCTTACAATCAACTAGAATTACAGATGTGAGCCACCACTGCCTGGCTGGCTGAGTGGAGTGCTGGTGGCACCAGAGGCCATCTGACAGCAGAAGGAGGGAGGCTGGGGTAGCCCCGGGGACAGGACTCAGCAAGCTGTGTCTGTGCAAGGCTCACGTCAAGAGGGTCAGAGGACAAGAGGACAGGCTCAGCCTGATTCCCCGTGCACCCTGGGGCCAAGAACTTGGTCTTATAGGACAGAGAGGACAGCTGTTTCCTGCCTATCCCCCCCCAGGTGTGGCTTGCAGATAAGGAAATCCTCAAGGGATGCTAGAATACACACTGGACTCCCTAAACAACCCCTTCATAGCTATGTCAGCCTCCAGGCTCAGCTGGTCAGTATGTAGTGGGCACCTGACCATGCCCAGCCATGACAGTGGCCAAAAGGGTCAACCTTGCTGGCTGGCCAAAGGCTTAGGGATCTGGCCCAGCTCTAGAAGGCACCCATGTGTTGCTTCTTACTGCCATAATAGCACTAAGATGCCCTGGATCCAAGACCCAGAGTTGGGGTTGCAGGAGGCCCAGCCCAACAAGCCATGTCCAGACTGTGTGTGGGGGGGGGGGACACTGAAGAATGTCTGAACCTAATGGAGATGGACTCCAATAGGATCAGGAAGGCAGGACAGCACCCCTCAATCCCCACCATGTCCCTCTCCTTGTCCATATCTCCCCATTGTGAGACTCCGGTGATCACCATCTTCTCTGGGCCTCACGGAGTCCCAGGAATAAGAGGCCTTTCAGTAACTCTGAAGATGTCCTGCAAACAGAGGAGTCACCCGAACCCTGCTCTACAAATTCAGGAAAGGCCACTCCACACCTCCAGCCCCAACCATAGCCCAAGGCTCTCCAGGTGGCAGGGGCTAGGAAAACCTAGCCAGAACACAGAGCCAAGAAGAGGCCTTGAGCCTAATCCCCATTTGGCTCATGGGTGCCCACCCCTCACTTCAGTCTAGACAAAGGATTCTGGAATACTAGCTGGAAGGCTTTTTGTGTTCAGTTGCTGTTGCTGTCCCAGTATTGGGGAGGCTTGAACTTAGGGCCTGGGTGCTGTCCCTGAACTTTTTCACTCAAGGTGGGCACTGGACCCCTTGTACCACAACTCCATGTCCAGCTTTTTGTTGGCTAATTGGAGATAAGAGTGTAATAGGCTTTCCTGCCTGGGCTGGGTTAAAACCTTAATCCTAGATGGGCGCTGGTGGCTCACGTCTGTAATCCTAGCTACTCAGGAGGCTGAGATCTGAGGATTGTGGTTCAAAGCCAGATCGGGCAGGAAAGTCCATGAGACTCTTATCTCCAATTAACCACTAGAAAACTGGAAGTGGCACTGTGGCTTAAGTGGTAGAGCGCTCTCCTTGAGCTAAAGAGTGTAGAGACAGCGCCCAGGCCCAGAGTTCAAGCCCCCACGACTGACAAAAAAAGAAAGAAAGAAAGAAATCCTCAGATCTCAGGCTCCAGAGTAGCTAGGATTACAGGCATGAGCCATCAATGCCCAGCCTAGAGGGCATTTTGACTTTGCTTAAAACAACCCCAACTCCTGTCACCTAACAATCTTACCCACATACTACTCCCAGTGTTGGTAACTGAATCTCAAGAGAGGGAGATTGACTAGGTTAAGGTCACACAGCAATGAACAGCTAGACAATAAGAAGGCATTTCTCTCAGATGGACTGTGATGGACCATAGCCTCAACACCACCACCACCCCCCCCCCCAGGAAAGCACAGGCCAGACCTTGGGGAAACCCAACTACACCTCTCAAAGAGAGGCCTGTATGGAGCCAGCCACAGAGTCAAGTCATGGGGAAGGATGTCCATGAGCAGCTAGCCACTGGACATCCAATTGTACCCTATTTTCCTGCTGCACTGGGGGCCATTCTGGTGTTTGCATTCATTAGGAACTGGAAGTTAAGCTCAGCCACGTTTTCTAGCAAGGCCTCTTGGCAGACAGGCCCTGACAGGACCTGGCACTTAAGGAATTTATGATGCTTCTTTCCATGGCAGAGGGGCAGGCAGGAGACACGCCGTGGAGGAGGAAGAGAAGAGGAGAGCAGAAGGCCAGAGCCTTTGTTAAGTGGAGGAGAGATCAGGTGGCTGACTGCACCTGAGGCCACACATTCTCTCCGCCAGGGGCCTGCCCCCTCTCCCCCCCCCCACTGACTGCGGTACTCACCAATGCTTCTCTTCCGCCGGATAGGCACAGGCCGCTTTTCGGGTGCATGCTTGCCACGGGACCCATGGGCTCTCAGGCTGGTTGCCAAAGCATCCTCAGCCCCTGTGGGTGGAGAAAAGCTGGTAAACTAGTGCCCACACCCTGATCTGCGAGGTTAACGGGTATCCACACCTGTGTGTGGCATCCTGGGGCCCGAGCTGGGGCCAGCCTTACAGATCAGCTTTCAGAGCCTCTTGGGGGCAAAGGGCAACAGCTCAGCCCTCACTTCCCCACCTCATACAGCAGGGCCCCCACACCCTCCCCCTTACTCAGTAAGGCCCCCACTGCCCCCACCTCCTACACTGCAAGGCTCCTCATACTCCCACTCCTACTGAATAGGGTCCCCTACAAGATCCCCAAAATTCATGATCCTTCACATTCTATCCCAGTGGAGACCCCTTACCCTGTACCCTATATAACAGGGTACCCTTTCCCCTCATGCAGCAAGGCCTCCCATAGCTTCTACCCCTCAGGGTCCAGCCCAGCCACACAGCATGGTCCTCTTCTCCCTCTATAGTGCCCCAAACAAGAAATGGATCCAAAATGCTATAGTCTTCTCTGGGCCTATGACAGACAAAGCTAAGGCCCTTTGGGGAAGGGGCTCAGTCCGTGGACCCCCCTAAGGGGAGGCTAAAGGTTGCCCCGCTGACCCACGTCCTGGGCGGCTCCAATCGTCAGGCTAGACCACAGATGCCCTCTCAGTCCCCTGTGGATGTGTGTATAGCCCCTCCCCACTCATGGGCCAGGACTTGATGAAGTGTCCTAGCCCCCAAGGGGGCATCGGAAGCAAGGCTCCAGACTGGGCCAGGCGCCAGCCCCCTCTGGTTCCTGAAATAAGCCTGCTTTGAGGGCCAGAGGCCATGAGAAAAAGCCAGGAGGACTGGGGGAGCACAGTTACGGTTGCAGACCTGAGGCCAGAGTCCCATAAAACAGCAGTAACAGTGAGGGCCATGAGCGCTGGATAGGGTACAACCTAGAGATCACAGAACTAAGACACCCCCACCAAGAACCGCAGCCCCCACCCCCGGCACACCCCGGCCCATGCAAGCCACAGCACACAGCCCTAGCCAGGTTTCAGTGCTTCCTGGGGTCAGGGGAGGACACACATTCTTACCACTAACTAATATGAACAAAACTTCTCCTTGATTTGATGGAACACACATCTGAATCAATAAGGCCCATTAGGCCTCCAGGCTTGGCTCTACAGACCCAGCTGGAGATTTCTGTCCACCTGAGTCCTAGGTACCTAGTAATCAGAGACCTAGGCCCAGCAACTGAGACCCTCACAGGATCACCAAATCCCTAGCCTGCAGCCTCCTCTTCTGTTCAGGGCATCAAGATGCCCCAGCCCCTGGCCCAGTTTGAGACCTCTTTCTGCCCTGCTTTCCCAAGTTTTTGCGGGGTTTTTTTTTATTGTTTTGTTCTGTTTCTTTTTTTTTTTTTTACACTGTCTCCCAACCAGCTGGAGAAACCTTGGCTCCCCCGCCCTGCCCCCACACCCAGATATGTGAACCCACACGTTTAAAATGAAAATTGAAAACTTTGCACGAGGTGTGAACCAAGCCTGAGCAGAGCCCAACTTTTTAAATGACTCAATGTTCCAATGCTTTTTTATTTGAAGACCCAAAATAAGATCAGAACAGAACTATTCATGTAGTAAGAATTTCCCATCAGCCAACTGTTACAAGAAGCTTCCCCTCCCCTTTCACCAAAAAAAGTGTCACTATGAGTCATGTCCTAGGGGTCGCCATCACCAAACCAACAACTGGCCTGCTCTTCGTATCCAGGAGAAAGATTAGCAGCAGCAGCAGCATGATGTGGTGGGATGGGAGGACCCTTTGGTGACTTTTCTGTGTCACCCACATTGAGTCTCATACAACTACAGTAGATACTACTGGCCAAGGAAACTGAGGCCCACAGAAAAGACAACAAAGAGCTGAGCGCCAGTGGCCCATGACTCTAATCCTAGCTACTTAGAAAGCTGAGATTTAGAGGGTCATGGTTCAAAGCCAGCAAGCAAAAAAAGTTGGGTAGCGTGCATCTCCAATTAACCAGCCAAAAAAAAAAAAAAACCAGACTAGAGTCATGGTTCAAGTGGTAGTGCACAGGGTCCAGAGTTCTAACCCCATCATCACCACCAAATAAAAGCAGCAGCAGCAGCAGCAACCTGATACTGGTGGCTCGTGCCTGTCATCCTAGCTACTTAGGAGGCTGAGATCTGAGGATCCTGGTTCAAAGCCAGCCCAAGCAAGAAAGTCCACAAGACTCCAACTAACCAGCACAATGCTGGAAGTACGAGCCTTGAGTGAAAAGTCCACCCCTTGCCCTGAGTTCAAGCCCCAGTACCAACACAAGAAAAGGAAAACAAAGACTCCTAGCTAAGGGATTCATCAAGGCCAGCATCCAGCATACAAAGCCCAACCCAGGACTCTAGGCTGAACTAATGCAGACAGGACCACTACCCTGACAGTCTATCAGTGCCACTGATAACCAAGAACAGCAAGACTGACAACACAAGTCCTGGTCAAACAAAGCCATTCTGTCCCGGATCACCAGCCAAGCACTATCCCACACTCGGTGGGAAGTAGTGTGGGAAACCAGCTGAGAACTGCTTCACTCCAGAAGGAACTTAAAAGCTAAGCCATGAAACAGTGTAGGACAGTTAATCAAGGTCTCTATTTTGCACAGATGTCCACATGAACTGTGAGGACAGAGTGACTCCATCAACCCTGTCCTAGTTGGGTGTTAATGGCCCAGGACTGGGATGTTTATGTAACAGTTATTCAATGGCCCATGGGCACCTGACCAGCCCACGCTGGAGAACAAAGCTCATGGCTCCACACCACACCTACAAGACAGTGGTGAACCCCAAACCCATCACTTCTGTCCCTGACAGCATCATGGACATATGATGTCTGCATCCAACGGCCACATGGGAAAGGTCACTTTGTGCTCCCTGTGGACCAGAACAAAAGCTCCCATCAAACAGCCCAGAAGCAGCAACAAGGCTGGGAGCAAGTCCCTTCCTCCCCCCATCTCCATCTATAAAATGGGATGCTGCAGGCTCCTTGGATAAGTTATATGCCAATCACAAAGCTCCACCTACTAAGAATGAGAAGATGATGAAGGAGGGAGCTGGGATACCCCCAAAAACCATTTCCTGCTCTCCTCTGGCAAGCTTCATCTGAGGCTAGACAGAGAAACACTGAGAGCCCACCTAAGGGTAGACACCTTTGGGAAAATCCAAGTGAGGTAAATCAAACTAGTTTTCCCTCTGGACCAGCTCTCCCCACCCCTCCTCACCAGTCCCCTAAACAGTCATAAGCTCTCACTAGGACACAGTAACAGGCCAGGCAGCCCTGACTAGACCTAAAGAGAAAGTACAGCCAAGAGGACACATTACTGTCAACATTCTATTGGGGGGATAAATAAAATAAAATAAAATCTCAGGAGCCAGCAACAGCAACTACTGTCCTCAGACCAGAGATGGGAGTCCAGCAGGAAAGAAACCTACATGGAGGTTTGTGTCCCCAGTCAAGACTGGGAAGCAAGGAGGACACCAGAAACCCCCTAACTTGCTCTCAGTTTCCCATTCATACTTCAAATTGCCAGGCAGGTGGTTGGAAGGAAAGCAGGTCAGTTCCACCTCTGCCTCCCCTCAGGACAGAAGAAGAGACATTCTTACTTGGGCAATTTGAATCCAGCCTGGCCAGGAGTAGGTGAGCAGTAAGTCCTGTCTGGATTCACTACAGGAGAGGCCCCAGCCCAGAAGCCCCTAGGCTAGGATACCAAGAGCAAAACAGCACAGAAGGACAAAGTAAAAGGAATTAATGGGTGGGGGTGGGGGAGGCGGGGCTGCAGCAACCTGAATAAGAATGGTCAGAACAGAAAGTGAATGGCTGATTTCCCCAAGGCATTTAAAGCCTGGAGAAGCAGGACTCCAGGCCTCACTTCTGGAGGGGGCAAGCTGAGCCAGGGGGACCACCTCAGGGAGATACACCATCTTCAAAGTCATCTGGGGACCCTCAAATCACTGAGAAAGAGTGTTTGCCCAGCTACCCCCAGGCCAGCTTCTCTCCTCCAGGCTTGCAGATCAAGGGACCAGATCAAAATCCTCCTGGCCCAACTCTGATCTCCAAGTGAAATCCTACCCGACTCCTGATAAGGATCAGGCAAAGGATTTCCTGGGTCAAGAAACTGGAGAAACCAGCGGCCTCCTTAGAAAATGGTTTTGGCATGGAATGAAAACAGTTTGGGCCTCCCTACCACCATAATTAGGTACAAATTTCCAAATGACTAGGCCATGTGATTTTACTTAATTCCTCTAACCCACCCACCCCACCCCCCCCTTGCTGAATAGAAAGGGGGGGGGGGGGTAATTAGCTTTAAAATTCTTCACTCTGGCTGCCTTTCCTTCCTTTTTCAGACAAGCTCATCTCAGGCTCTGTTCAGCTAAGTTTTCTCCAGTGTCTCCTGAAGACACTGAAAAGTTCAGCAAAGTCGTGGAGCTCCCAGCCAAGTGTTAATTTTGGAAAAGGGTAACACAAAGGAGAAGTCCTTGTCCTACACAACACACACACACACACACACACACTCACACACCTCCAACACCACCTCTCCACCCTCCCCACCCCATATCTCAATAGCGGGTCTAGGTTTAGTCCATGCCTTTAAACCAGCCAGACCCTTCCAAACTCTGCGTTTACAAGTAAACTATTTTCTAAAGTGGCTTGGCTCCAGGCCCTGAGGGTGAGCCCCCCAAAATAGCCCAGAGCACGTGCGTCTAAGGAAGCGCCTTTTCACTGAGACTTGAAAAGAGGGGAGAGAAAAACAACAACAGAAGCAATCCACCGGCTGCCTGCAGCCACTGGAGCCCAACCCGCAGCTCACAGGGCTCACAAAGGGGCGCTGACCAGCCGCAGACGGCCCGCGCGCACCCTGGGGGACCTCGTCCCGCGAAGGACTGCCTGTCACCCGGGGCTCAGGGCTGCACGCCCACCCATCATCCTTCTGGATCGGGCCGCTCCTGGTTTCCCCGGGCACGCGTTGGCCCGCACACCTGGCCGGAGCGCCGGCGCCCTCTGTGAACTTTGGGTGACACACGCGGCAGTTTTGGTTAAATCCTGGAGCAAGCACGCAGCCCTCGGGCCGCCGCTGGGAGAGAAAGTGGCGACTGGAGGAGAAACGCCTGACTCATGCGCCTGGGCGTTTATGGCCGAGGAGTGGATTCTGACCTTTCGGTGCGCTCCTGCGCGCGGCGCCCGGCCTGGCCGAGTGCGGGGGCCGGCTCTCTGCGCAGCCCTCTCCGCACGCCACCCGCACCCTCCCCGCGCCAAGGGCAGGGGCGCGATTTACCTACGGAGTCTATCTCCAGGAGTCGCTGCAGGTCCCGGATGCTGTGGATCTGACTGCGAGCCAGCCGCTCGATCAGCTCACGGGGGATCTCCGCTTCCTGCAAGCAGATCACACGGTCAGCCAGCGCCAGCCCAGGGCCACGGTCCCGGCCCGAGAGATCCACGCGAGCCGCGCGCGGCCCCGCCCGACCCCTGCAGATTCCCTCTGGGCCCAGGAGAGGGAGGCTGGGGTGGGGCTGGGTGGGTGGGACTCCCAAGTCCTCCAACCCCATCCCAACCTGACCTTTGCAAAAACAAGCCCCCCAACCACCTCCTCTTCATGTTGAGACAATCAAAACAACCACCAAAATAAAACCACCCCAGCCCTCCCCAGGGGATCAGTTACAGGAGGTATGGCGGGGGAGGGGGCAGCCGAGGGAGCCTCGGAGTTTCTGGTTTAATAGTCAAATCGACATCCAGAAAGAACGGGGTCGAAATGCGTCACGGATCGACGACGAATAGTCACGGCAGCTCCAACACTTTAAATCTAGCCAGGAGGCTTAAATTTCACGCCCCAGAATCCTGGGGCCGAGAGAGAGGGTCTCCCCCTCGCCAACACACGCACGCACGCGCGCGCCCGAGCTCGCCCCACCCGGCTCCGGCCCAGACGCGGCCCTAGCGCCGACAAGGACTCCCCAAACCAGCCAGGGGCTAGAAGAGGCTACCGGGAAAGCAAGGGTTAAATACACACCTCGAGGCTTTTACCCAGCCCGGCCCGGACCACTCCCACCACACGGCCTCCCTCCCCCCCTTTGCCCCCCCCCTCCCCATTCTCCCTCCTGATCTTTTTACAGGGAGTCCGGGGTCGCTGGGGGGGCGGATGGGAGGGGGCGGTGGCTCAAGCACTAAGTTCCCACGACAGGGGCTGGGGAAACTCATTCATCACAGCAAAGCTCCCAGGGACTCGTGGGATACGTGGGGAGGGGAGGGTACCCCAGCGGTGGGAGGGCGCGGGCGCCTGGCCGGGCCTCAGCTGCCTAGCTCAGCCACCTGTAAGCAGGCCCCGGGGCGGGCGGGACTTGCTCGGGCCCGGCGCCCAGCTGAGCTTGGAGACGGAGAACCCGGGACTGTGCTTCTCCGCTGCCCACCCTCAAATCGCCCACCGCAGGCGCCTCTACCTGTTCACGAGCCGCCGTATTCCCCACCTACGCCTGGCACCGTCTTTCACACACATACACACCCCCTTTCCCCGCACCCCGTTACTGCAGAACCCGCTGCGCCCCCCCCCAAGCCACCGCTCTGGAGACGCGCCCGCGCCCCCCGAACTTTCTCCCCTCTCGTCCACCTCGCCGTTCCCCGTCCCTCCAAGGCAGAGAGACGCAACACGCTGGAAACTCACCAGACAACACTTGGGCATGGCAGAAAATAGAACCCGGTCGGGAAATGTTTTTGAAAAAAAAAAAATCAGCCCCTCTAAGCAAAATCAAAATGCTCTCCGCAGAGCCCGGAGCGCCCCGGCCCCGCGGGCGGCCGAGGGGGGCGTGCGCCGGGGGAGGGGAGGGCGGGTTGGGGAGGGGGGGTCATCAGAGGGGACGACGGGGCGCGGGGGTGGCACCCACCTCGGCCAGGGCATGGGCGAGGTATCCGCAGCCGAGGAGCAGCAGGCAAGCCCAGGTCCTCATCGCGTCCCGAGGCGCTGGCGGCTCGGCAGGGAGGCGAGGCCGCGGGGCGGGCGCTCCAGCCGGGCTCCTGTGGCGGCGAAATTCAGTACCATCCCTCAGGGAACGCGGCCCGGAGGAGGGTGGCGCGGAGAGCCGGGAGCCGGCGGAGCGCGCCCGGCGCGAGCAGAGAGTGCAGCGCAGGCGACGGCGGCGGGGAGGAACAGGGAGTGCGCGCCCGCCGCGCCGGGAGCCTCCTGGGCCGCCGGGTAGGGGGTGGGGACGGAAGGGGCGGAGGGCGGGGGCTGGGCTTCCTTGGTGCGTTCCCCGTGCTGGCCGCGGCCGCGCTCGCTCCCCGGAGCTGGCTTTAGGAGCGACCCGGCCGGTAATTCCGCATATTTGTGGGCATCAGTCCCGGGAGGGACCCCGGAGCGAGTCTGGAGCCGCTGCTGCACCAACGATCACCTGTCTGGACACCCAGCCGAGCCCTGGCTGCCAACTCGCCGTTTGTTCTCCCTGCGGAGGGCTGCGGACAACCCTACACGCCTATCGCCGCCGGCCAGCGATCGTCTCCGGCCTCCTCTAGTCGCCGATGCCCGATCGGGCACCAGTGCGGCCCAGCACGCCGGAGGCCCGGCGGCCTGCGTGCGCCCCTCCGCGGCGCGCCCTCGGCTACGGCGCCGCGCGCTCCGCCCTCCGCCGGCCGGGGCCGGGCAGCGCCCGCGGCCGCGCCGCCTGGCAGCCACCTCCTGCCCCGGGGCCTCGCTGCTCCGCCCGCACGGGCGCAGGGCCGAGCCGGCGCCGCCGCCGCCGCCGCCGCAGCAGCAGCAGCAGCAGAAGCCGCGGGGAGAGAAGGAGGAGGAGGAAGAGGAGGAGGAGGTGCTGGCAGGCCCAGCTCGCTGGAGTTGTGCGGGCTCCGCGGGGCGCGCGTGTGAAGCCGGCCGGCGGCAGGGAGGGGGGTTATAGCGCCGCCGCCGCCGCGCCCCTCCCCCGCCCCCGCCCCTCCCGCCTCCCTCGGGTTCCGGGCCCCGGACCCACACCTCGGAAGCGCGCGGGGATCGTGCGGGCCGGGTAGGGCCCGGCGGCCACCGCCACTGCAGTGAGGACACACGCGCTCACGCAGGCAGCTAAATCCATCAACACCTCGCGCCCGGCTCCGATCCCAGACGCCGGGGCTTCCCGCGCGCCCCTCCCTCGAGCTTGCCCACCCTCCGGTGCCAGCTGCAATCCTGCGGCACCGGGCGGGGAGGGGAGGAGGCCGCCGCACGAGCACCGCCGTCGCCGGCTCGCCTCTGTCGGGCCCCAGCGGCGGCCGAGGGCAGCGCCCAGAGCTACTGCGCCAAAAAGGGCATGAGAGCCGCCACTGGCCCCCGCCCGGGAGCTCGGGCCGCTTTCCACAGTTTGGATCCCAGGCTCGGGCTTTCCCTTCTCCATAAAAGGAGGGGGAGTGAGTCTCTGGAGAAAGGTGGGGCGGATTTAGGGGCGCGTCTAAGGCACTCACCTGGCGGCTGCCACGCGCCCCTGCCCAAGGTCCGAAGCCTGGGGCACCTGAATGAGGAACCTCCACCCACATTTCGAGGTGGGAACAAGGTTGGGGAGGAGATTGCAGCAACCTGTTTTATCCTTGACCTTGACACTCTGGCTGCCCCTTCCCTTCCTCCCCAAGTCTCCCACTCCCTTTCCGAAAGCGAGGCAGCACCGAGATCGGGATTGAGAGGGTGGAAGGAAAGGAAGAGAAAGGAACCACTGGTGAACCCGTGGGTTCTGCGTCTGGATCCGCGGGCGCACAGAGCGCCACCTCCGGCCAAGCCGCTGCACCGAGCGCGCCGCGGGGGAGCGACGCGCGTCGACCGTGGGCTGGGCAGGGCTGGACGGCTCCTGCGCGGCGGCCGAGTGGGTGCGCCCGGACGCTGGAAGATTGGACCCCGACTCACGGGCGGATGCCTGCCAGTGCCTCCCCTCGAGGGGGGCTACCTACAGCTCTGGTATCTGGGATAGAGGGGCTGTCGGGCCTTGCGGACCGCAAAGCTAGAAACGCCTGGGCCCTTGGAGACTAGGAGACACCTTAAGGGTGAGTGGACCTCCGAGGAAAATGTCACCCGCCCCAGCCCCCACTCCCCCGTCCCACCTCCCCACCCCCACCCCCGCCGCGGTCGCCCTCACTCCCAGACCGAGGTGCCACCTGGAGGGGACTTTTCATCCCCTGCTGGGCTGGGCGGGTTCCTGCATTTCAAAGGCCTAGTTGAGGGACGCTGGGGAGGGGGGCGCCCCCCACTCCCAATTTCTGGGGGCGGGGCCTCCCCGGCAGCTCTCCACTGCCTGCCTCTACGCCCCGTGCCCCACCCGCACGTCCCTGCTCGGCCCCTCCCGGTGGTGAGGAGGACCAACACCGAAAAGGGAAAACTTGGAAACGTTCAGAAGCGCCTGTTCCGACGCGGAGGGAGAAACACCGATGGTTTCTGGAAGGTGGCCCAGCGCACATCGTCAGGTCACAGCCGGCTAGACCTGGGTCCGGCCCTCGCCTTCCAGTCCTGAGTTGTGCGCATCTGATCCCGCAGAGCCCCTGGGCACCTCACGGGCAGAGAGGATGAGGCTCGAGGACTCGGAGTGACAGTGAGTTGTCTGTCGCCCAGCATGGCCGAGGGGATCCTCACTCTCCACCCACTCCACTCATGGAGGCTGCTGATTCCTGGGGGGTCCCCATCTAGATCAGTGCTTCTCTCCGCTCCCCTTCCTGATCCACGAGTACACGAGTGCAGGGCAGAGCTTAGAGGAGATCTGGGGACCACATGGGAGGAGGTGCCCTGATTTGGATGGGGGGGGGGGGACACAGCGAGGCGGGGCCTGGCAGCATCCTCCCAAACGCAGGAGCACGGTTCAGGCCTGTCCCCCCTTTCCCCCCACCCCCCCACCTCACCGCCGGCCGCTATTAAAAATAAAACCGCGACCCGTCGTCATAGCGACCACAACAACAGCGGCCGAGCGAGAGTGGTAACTTGCGCCTCCGAGCGCCAGCAGCCTGGGGTTCCCGGGAGCTCTGGCTTGGGACAAAGACACCCCCCCCCCTTCACCGTGTCCCAACACCATATTCTCGGGTCCTCAGGAAACACAGAGAGAGAGAGAGAGAGAGACGGGGGGGGGGCGCCCCCCAAGGCTCCGCCTTTCGAGAACTGGAAATTGAGACCCGGTAGGACGGACTTAGCCCAGCGGCCACAGGCTTGGATGTGGATCAACCCCTTAATATCTTAAGTGCTTCTTTCAACCCCTGGAGAAAAAGGAGGGTACGTGAGGCGATGGGGCTCGGGGACCAGAGCCCCCCGCCCCGAGGAGCTGGTGGAGGGCGCGGCGGCCCCAGCACCCGTTCCGCCCGCTCCCCGTCCCGTGCGTCCGGCGGCGGTGATCCCCGGCTGCTCAGTGTCACATGCTTTGCTTTTTTTTTTTTTCTGGCTAGGAATCGAGTTTCACATCCAGCCGCTATTAGGCGGTTCACACGGTTCACTGCAAACATTTGATAATGAGTCTAAATATACTTAGGAGACCGAGGAGGCGTGGGCGGCCTCTGCCCGAGCGCGTGGGCGCGGCGCTGCGGGCGCCCCGGGGGCATCCCCGCCCTCGCCCGGCCCCGAGACCATCCTGGGAGCCTGTGGGCCAGCCAGACCAGCCGGAGGGCCCCGTTCCACCTCCCCCACCCCCACCCCCACTCCGGAGGAAGAAAGCCAGAGCAGGGCGGCGGTCGGGAGACCCCGGGTGGAGGTGCCCTGGCGACCAGGTGCACCTGGGGGCGGCCCTGGATCTCCGGTCGCCCCCGGAGCGGGTGCTTCCGTCCGGGTCTTGAGCCTCCCTGGCACGCCCCCAAGGAACTCCGGGGCCTATAATTAAGGTGTCCGATGCTCCAAATAGACCCAAAGGGAGGTGACTGCCCCTGGCTGGCTTAACTCCTGACACCACCCAAGATCCAGAGTAGCCAGGGAGGGGGTGACTGGGGCCCTGAGAAAGGTGGGACCAGAGGGCGCCCACACAACCTATATTAAGAATTTGTCAGCCAGGGTGCTGCTGCTGGTGGCCACAACCTGGAACCCTGGCTGCTCAGAAGGTTGGGATCTGGAGAAGCAGCGTGGATGGGCAATGGGGAGCACAAGTAAGCCTCCTGGGCCAAAAGCAAGACCCTTGTGTGGAAAATAGCCAAAGCAAAAAGGGGGCTACAGGCACCCCTCCAGTGTAGAGGGCCCAGACCCGAAGTCAGAACCCTCTTGTTTCGCATAAAACCCGCCCCGCCCCCTTCCTACCCAACTGCACAACCAATGAACTTCCTTAACAGCCTGCCCCTCATAGGTGCTCGATTATTGTTGCCTTAATTGATACTTATTGCTAAGGATGATTTTTGTCTTGTGCCAGGATCTTCCTCTGCCCAGTTTAACCCTAGGGCTGGGACTTAGACACCCCCCCTCCCCATTGTGCCATTTGAGGCAAAGCCAAGTCTTGGGATTCCTATGAGATCTCCATGAATAAACACAGGATTGCTCTGTGACAAGTCAACACCCATTGACAAGTTAGGATCAGACCCCCAGTTCCTTGCTGGTCCCTGTCCCCGGGCCCCCTGGTTGGTTTGTTTTGTTTGGTCAGTTTTGGTTTCTATGTTTTGTTTTGTGCCTATTAGTAGGGCTTGAACTCAGGGCCTGTACACTGTCCCTTAGTTTGTTTTTTTTTTTTTTTTTTTTTTGTGGGTTGTGGGGCTTGTGCTCTGAGCCTGAGTGCTGTCCCTGAACTCTTTAGCTCAAGGCAAGCACTCTACCACTTGACCCACAGCGCCACTTCCAGTTTTCTGGTGGTTAATTGAAGCTAAGAGTCTCATAGGCTTTCCTGCCAGGGCTGGCTTTGAACCGTGATCCTTAGATCTCAGTCTCCTGAGTAGCTAGGATTACAGGGATGAGCCACCAGTGCTTGGCAACTTCCAACTTTTTTATGATTAATTGGAGATAGGAATCCCACAGAGGGCTGGGAAGGTGGCTCAGTGGTAGAGCGCTTGCCTTGCATGCCTGAGGCCCTGGGTTCGATTCCTCAGCACCACATAAGCAAAAAGAAACAAAGCTGGAAGTGGTACTGTGGCTCAAGTGGTAGAGCACTAGCCTTGAGCTGAAGAGCTGAGGGACAGCGTCCAGGACCAGAGTTCAGGCCCCACGACTGGACCCCCCCCCCAAAAAAAAAAACAAGAATCCCACAGACTTTCCTGCCTTGATTGACCTCAAATGGTGATCCTCAGATCTCAGCCTCCTGGGTAGCTAGCAAGGATTACAGGCCTAAGCCACTCTACCATGCATCTGCCTTGTTGGTGTGATTTGCCTGTGTGACGTTCAGTTCCCCATCTGGAAACTGAGCCATAGCCTGTCCCAACCCCAGTGGTCTCTAGCCTAGGGGTTCCATCAGTCCATATAAAAGAGGGCAGGAGGCTGCCAATCGAGGCAGGTGGCACAGCTGGGCTCTGTGCCTCAGTTCCACAGCAGATCCCAGAACAATTTGTTATAAGGAGAAACACCAGCCTCCCTTTATCTCTGGGCAAAGCTTTCTTGGTTTGGGGCAATTAACTAGAAGTAGCTTCAGCCATGTGGGCGTGGCCCCTTGAAGATCAAAAGTGCAGGTTGCAGGCGTTAATTAAGTCATTATCCAAGGCCCCCTTAGGCTAAGGATCAGGCCCTTCCAGTTCGGGGCTTCCCAAAAAAGGAGATAAGCAGTGAGGCCAGGTGGAAAATAGACCTCTAACTCCCTGGTAAATATTATTTTCACTTTTAAATACACAAGCAGAAATGAAGTCTAAAATCCACTATGAGCCCACAATTGCATTTGGTGAATGAAGACCTGTGTTAAGAACATTTGGTGGCTTCAGGAAGTGACAGACTAAAATCTAGATCCTGCCTAGGACTGGAGCCCAAGCTCCAAGAGCCATGGAACATTTAAACTGGTGGCTGATTAGAGTTGGGTTAAACACAATTAAAAAAAAAAAAATGGGTTGAGTTTGGTTTGTTTTGTGCTGGTCCTGGGGCTTGAATTCAAGGCTTTAGTTTTTTTTTTTTAATAAGGCTGGTGTTCTACCACTTGAGACACAGCTCCACTTCTGGCTTTTTGCTGATTTCTTGGAGATAAGAAGTCTCCCTGGGTGCCAGTGGCTCACGTCTGTAATCCTAGCTACTCAGGAGGCTGAGATCTGAGGATCATGGTTCAAAGCCAGCCCGGGCAGGAAAGTCCGTGAGACTCTTATCTCCAATAAAACCACTAGAAAACCGGAAGTGGTGCTGTAACTCAAGCCTTAGAGAGCTCGCCTTGAGCTGAAGAGCGCAGGGAAAGCACCCAAGCCCAGAGTTCAAGCCAAAAAAAAAAAAAAGAAGTCTCTTGGAGGGCTGGGAATGTGACTTAGTGGTAGAGTGTTTGCCTTGCATGAACCCTCGGTTCCATTCCTCAGTACCACATCAACAGAAAAAGTTGGAAGTGGTGCTGTGGCTCAAGTGGTAGAGTGTTAGCCTTGAGCAAAAGAAGCTCAGGGACAGTGCCCACACCCCAGGACTGGCAAAAAAAAAAAAAAGTCTCTTGGATTTGTCTGCCCCAGCAAGCTCCAAAGCCTTGGTTCTCAGATTTCAACCTCTTAAGTAGCTAGAATTACAAACCTGAGCCACTAGCACACTGTTGGTGCTGAGCTTTGAACTCAGGGCCTTGGGCTTGCTAGGCAAGTGCTCTGCCACTTGAGTACCCCATCCCTAAAATACAGAGAGAGGGAGAGAAAAGACAGACTTTCTCACTAGTAACGTTTAAAATTTTTTTTATTGTGGGGCTGGGAAGATGGCTTAGTGGTAGAGTGCTTGCCTTGCTTGCCTGAGGCCCTGGGTTCGATTCCTCAGCACCACATAAGCAAAAAGAAAAAAGCCAGAAGTGGCGCTGTGGCTCAAGTGGTAGACCAGACCAAAAAAAAAAAGAAAAATTATTGCTATTATAAAGGTGATGTATAGAGAGGTTATAGTTATATGTCTGGTAATGAGTACATTTCTTTTTGGACAGTGTCACCCCTTCCCTCACTCCCAGTTTTTTCCCTCCCACGCCCACCCATAAGTTGT